TCAAGATATTAAATTGTTGCAATGTACAACAAATTGAATGATGGAAGATAGGATGTCTTAATGAGGTTTCGCTTTCAATGAGTGTTGATTTTCTATGTATTTAAAAATCTTTTTTATGGCTAGGTGGGGGAGGGAAGGACCTTAGAAGGAAGAAGGGGCTTCTGGGGCAGCATGGACTACAGCCCTCGAGAGCGAGGATGCCTAGGTTTCCTTGAGCCCCTCCTCTACCATGTCTGGAGAGAAAAGGGGCCCCAAAGTTGGGAGATTCTCTATTGGGGCCTAAAGGCAGTGGGGGGGACTGGCAACCTGAGAGGCAGAATGTGAGCCTCAGTCCCGGAAAGTTAAGTGTTTTATGACGTCCCTAAACAGAGGGCAGAGACTGAAAGGTCTCGCCGATTTATAATGAACAGAAACCAGCTGCTGGGTGAAAAAGGCAGAAATGCTGGAGGGGAGAGAGAAGGAGAAACAAATACAAATAAATTCTTCCACTGCTTAAAGACTTTTGGCAAAATTAATTTTCAGCACACTCCCTCCACATTACCTTTCGTTCCTGAGGAAAGAAGCCCTCTTCTTTCAGTTAGATCTTTAATTATGCAGCTGAAATTTGCTGAAAGGATTCGCTCCAAGGGGGGAGAGCAGGTCAGATGAACCCGATCTTCCCTACATTGGATTATATTTTCCTTTTCCCATTTCATTCTAATTTTGTTTTTTTGGCAAAAGAAGGGCTGTCTACAGGGAGAAAGCTGGGACTTAGATTTTTCTAAATATATTTATATTTTCCTGTTAAATTTGTCTGAAAACAATTATGGAAACTCATCAGCAGAAGCAAGAACAGATGTTTTATTAAAACTGCAGTTGTGCTCTGTAAATATGCACAAGTCTTGGGAAGGAGGGGAGAGAACTTGTTCTTTGTTTCTATAAAACGAGCCTAGAGAAATCAGAAAACACTACCCCCCAACCTCATCAGGCTGGCAGGTCTCCTTGCTTCTGCTCTGGCCCCTTGGCCTCCAGAATCAGGCATTCGGAAGGGGCTTGGTGTCAACAGCAGATTTTCACTTTCGGAGGAGCTTTAATTGGTGGATTCAAAAACAGAATTTAAAAAACACAAAAAAAGAATATAAGGGGAAAGTTGCCACTTGCTTCTCCAGTCCTCCCCAACGCAAAACACAAGCTTTTCATAGTGCTAATTATAGGAGAGAAATTGACTGCCTGCGCCTTGGACCTGAGTTGGGTAGAGTCACTGGCCTGGAGTCCCCAAGGATAAGGGTGGCATTGCAGCCTGGGCACTTGGGGATTTCCCTGAGCAAGTTGAAAGCTCCCATTTCAGCCTTACTTTAGGCCAGGGAAAGGCCGGGGGGGCCTGTGAGCTCTGAACTGGGGAAAGGGTGGGTGGGACTGGACCCAGCCTGGAGAGGTTCGTGGGCAGGCCTCACCTTGCTGGCTTTTGCTTTCCACTCAGCTCTGGGAAATATATTAATGTCTTGGGGAGGGATATTTGAAGTGAGTGGGATGAGATCTGGGATTTTTATTTGGGGACAATATTTTCCAGAGGTCCTCCTTAGTTGTGTCCTCTGGGTCTCCTCTGTCTCCCCAGATCCCCCAGCTCTGCGCGGATGTTTGTGACTCACCCAGCCTGTACACAGATACACATATTCCATTCCTGGCTGACGCGCCGCAACTACAGCTCCGTGCCTCCGGAGGCTGCTCAGGGACCCAGGCACTGGAGCCGCAGGACTCAGTGCTCGGCCTCAGCGCTTGGCCTGGGTGCTCAGCTGCCTGGAGGCGACCCCGCAGCTGCCCAACCCTGCCCCCACCACCCCCAATTCTCACTTTCCCGGGCGAGAGAAGAGCGGTTGCCCCGCTGGCCCCTTTTGTGCCATTGGGCGAGGGCTAAAATCCCTCTTACGGAGAAAGCCGAGTTTCAATAATTACTCAGCTCCCCTCACAATCACACTATTTGGTTAAGGCTTTGCTGTTCTAGAGCGACTGCTCAGTTGGTCCGACTGGTCTAGGATTAGAATTTTTAATTTAGAAATTAAAAAAAAAATAAATTCTACTCCAAATGCCTGGTGTTGTGTGTGTAAATAAGCTCCTTTGATCTCCATGGAACTCCTAGTCAAGGGATCAGATCGCAAAGAGAGCCTCCTGGTCTGCCAGAGACCCTGAATGCAGGGAATGCTGCTTGGAAACACCAAAGCATGGCTCACCTAAGGGGCTTCCAGTTTCCCATAGATATGATGGGGGAAGCTGTCTGAGCACATACCTGCCCCCACCCCCCCCACACACCACATTCCTAAAAGGAACACTCCTCCTTTCAAAGTTCAGGCACAGAGAAAAGTGAAATTTGACACACCTAACATGAAAATGAATCCCATTTGGGGGTGCTAATATTTTGGGGACAGGGCCCAGGCTGGCCAGTTGAAGGGAGCTGGGGGTCAGCAGGGAGAGGGAAAGGAGGAGGAGGCCAGATGGGGCATGTCAAGCTGCTGAGAACTGCCCCCAAACACCTAGGAGGCCTGCACTGGTGACTCCTCTTTTGAGCTAAGGAGAGGCTGAGAGCCTACCCGCGCTGCTCTTGCTTTATTGCAATTAAACAGAGAAGAAAGGTATATGGGGGGCTCTGCTAACTCATGTCACATTTCCTCTCCGTCCTCTTTCTTTCCAGGTTTCTGCCTGACGTTTCCTTACCAGCACTTCACTTATTGCTGTACCATCAGCAGACACAAACTCTCACATCGGCATTTGTTTGGCTTCTCAATTCACTTCTCTGACTTAAGGTTAAAACGTAAAATAGGCCCCAAACATCTCTACCCCAACACGCTCAGCCCTGAGCCCCCTTCCGGCTCCACCTGGAAAATGTCATTTCTGGCTTTTGGGGGGCTGGCACCCAAGCCTCCCACCTCTATTCCAAGCAGCTGAGTATCAGCTGAGGAGGGGGCTTAGGGAGAACCTGGGGACACAGCTCTCTGTGAGCTGGGAATGGGGAGAGAGCTTAGATGCCTAAGGACACTTGAGGGGGGCAAAGCAAGTGACCCTGTTTGGCCTAGGAGAAAGATTAAAATCCAGAATATCCCGAATATTTTCAGCCCCCTGAATAGGGCCTCAAGAAGATGTCACATGAGGAAGAAGCTGCAATAGGGGGTGTGGGGCTCTGTGCTGGGTGAAAGGATCTCCAGCCTTCTGGCTTCTTTTATGCCCCTCCACATGAAGCATATTGCTTGGGCCCATTTGGGAAGTTCACTAGAATTATAAAATTCATGAACTCAGTATTTATGACGTCACAGTGAGTTGTCATACAGAAATTGTAAATGTCCTACCAGTTACACATGGCAGGAGTTTTGTGTGTGTGTTCCTGCCCTCCCTCCACGTTTTTGTTCCTTCCTCCCCCTTTTCTCCCCATGGTCTAACTTCTCCTGCTTGAAAATAAAATGTTGTTATGTTCTGGAACAATAAGCCAGCAATAAAACAGCATCCTCATTTCCCTATAAATAATTTTATCCTTTATTGTTTGCAGATCTGAAAGAACCATTTAATCTGTGCTGGCAAAAAGAGAGAGAGAGACTGGGAGGGGAAAATTAATTTCAGAAATGAGAATATTACTTACTTCAATGATACTCTTTTAAATTTGATAGCCAGGAGCAAATTTAAAGGCAAACGGCTGCCTATCCGACTCTACACTTGGCAGGAGGCGGGATTGGAGACATATAGGATCTTTAGCAAAGGGGCATTTCATTTTGTAGGATTTGCTTAAATTCACTGCAAGTTTGGGGGGCTGAGAAGAAGGGAGTGTGGGAGGAGAATGACATGCTATATCTAGCTTTATGAATCCATCAGCATTACCCTGATTTAAAACCCAACAACTTGTGTCTCAGGGAAACTCCTGCAGAAAGGAGTGGGCTGGTGGGGGACTGGGTTGAAGGGGGTGGGCTCAATTTTCTCAGTGAGTGTGGCCCCCTTAACCAAGTGGTTACCAGGGGAAGGAAGAAAAGCCTAGGCAAGGGGAGGGCTACTGGGAAGTCTCTCCACCACAGGGACACCCGGAGGTTTATGGTGTCCCCATAATTCCCCTGACCCTATAAACAGCTGCCCTGTTTTAAGATGATTTCTCCTTCCTCCCCTCCAAAAGAGAGAATGCAGGAGCTTGTGAGGGCAGGAGGGGGTTGCTGGAAAGGGGAGAGAGTTCGGGGATTGCGCTGCACTTTGTTCTCCTGGGCGAGTTCGCTGGTTTGGCGGGTTTCTGACACAGGGTGGCAGCAGACAAAACAAGTAAACAACTCACAGACACAATAAACAGGAGCGGCCGCGGCGCCGTGGCAGAGGCCGTGGGCTGGGCAAGGGGTACAGTCCTGGGGTAATGTCACGCCAGCGCCTGGGGTGACCAAGGCCCAGAAAGCCTGAGGCTGCTCTCCATGAAGGGCGGAAGGAAGGTGGAAGAAAGCTGCACACCTCTTGGTGCAGCCTGTCTGGACAAGAGTCTTGGGAGAAACCTGATCACCTAGAGAGTGGCGGAAAACCCCTCCAGCCCCACTCTATTCCCTGTTTTCTTTTATGGGGTTTTCCACCGACATTGAAATTTCCCCTCTGCTCTGTCTTTTTGTGCCTCTGGAAGGGAGAAAGGCTGGCAAAGGAGGCCCATTAATTCTCAGCCTTGGTCGCCCATACTCAGTGATCCAGGCCCACAGGCCTAGCATCCTCTCCTGTGCTACCTGAACCAGCCTTCTCCCTGACCAGGTCTTGCCCTGGCTCAGATAGCAGCGAGGATTAAAACACAGTTCAGCCAGTAACCCGATCTGGGTATTTGGGGGACCTTAGAGAACTCCCAATCTGCTGCCACGGATGCAGGCAAATCCGGCTGGGGCAGGGTGAGTGGCTG